TGTGGTTGACCAAAAGTGAAGTCTGTGAAAAGTGAAACTGAGCACATAAAGGGACTACTGTATGTATGTGGAAAAAAGCAATGTGCAGTACAATGACATGACAAAAGGTACATTATCTTTTATGTTAAAAATGGATGGAAAAATATATTTATGTGTGTGTATACATACATATATGTGCATATATGTAAACATGGTATTTGTGTGTATGTTTAAAGAATGAAGGAATAATTCCAAAACCAATGAAAATAAGGCAAAGGAGAAATCAGTATTTTAGGGGTAACTGTAAACCAGACTTCTTTGAATATGTTTCCGTTTGGTAATTTTCCAATTTTTATCAATTAATATAAATGGAAGGTGAGTTTTTATACTCTTAACAATGCTGTCAGTATTTCTTTTTCTCTGAACATAGGTATATTACAGTTTTTGGTTGATTTGATTTTCACTGCTTACATTGTTGTGACTGTTGACATGTCATTTCTGAGCTAAATATATTTTTATTTTTTCAAAAAGTTTTAGTTGTAGATGGACACAATACATCTTTATTTTATTTATTTGTTTTTATGTGATGCTGAGGATCGAACTCAGCCTAACATATGCTAGGCAAGTGCTCTACCACTGAGCCACAACATCAGCCCCTAAATATATATTTATTATGTGTCCTTACATAACTTAGTCATTCCTAAAGTTATCATTTTCTTTATTTTCAGTTTTCTTGGTTTTCTGTGTATTTTTAATTTGAACAATGCTCTTGAAACCTTATTTAAATATGAAATCTATTAGTATTGTTAGTTTACCTTACTTTGATGCATGAAGGGATAAAGGGAAATTTAAAGAACTATTAATTAACAAAGGTACTTTTTTTGTTTTTGAATGATAGATTGTTCTGCAGCATGCTTGAATCAGACAGTTAAAATCTTGTATGAAGTCCTAAATGCCGATGTCTACAATTCTTTTATTTTTTAAATCTTCCCATGTTACATGCCAACTTGTAAGCAACAAAAAGGGATTGGAGAGTTACTATTCAGCATATAAACATTCATGTAATTCATACTTTTTAAAAATATATTTTTTATTTGTTCTAATTAGTTACACATGACAGTAGAATGCATTTTGACACATACACAAATGGAGTGTAGTTTCATTCGTCTGGTTGTACATGATGTTACACAAGTCATATAATCATACATGTCATACTTTTTTGCTAACATGAGATATCTGCTTCAGTTGTTTCTAAGTCTAGAACCTATTTGGTTCATTTTCTCTAGAAAATTTTTTTCCTGCTTGGGTTTAGAGAAATGGCAACTTCCTGTGTAAATTGGGAGGTGATGTATTGATCAAGATTCAATTACAGAGAAAAGAATATCCTAGCCACTTGGAAGGCCAAGACAGGGATAACA